GGCTTTGCGCCGCCCCACCCCACCCCCCCCGCCGGGCGGGGGCCCCTTACCTCGCTTGACGACGTGCATGGCGGCGGCGGCGGCCCTGCTCGCTCTCCCGGCCCGTCAGGCGCTGCTCGTCCCGCTCTCGGCGCGCGCGCTCCTCCGCCGGCGCTTCCCGCTCTCCCGCCAACCGCCGCGGTCCCTCGTGCGCCGCCGTAGCCCGGCCCCGCCGCGCCGAGGCCGCGCGCGCCATCTTGGAGCCTGGCGGGCCCGCCCGCGGGGCTCCCTCCGCCTGAAGCGACCCGGATGGCGCCGTAGCCGAGGAGGGTGGGCCGGCGAGGGCGCCCGGGCGGCCCCACCTGCGCCGAGCGGGGGCGCCTGCTGGGCGGGCCTTGCCCGGGACGAAGATGGCGGCGGAGGCCTTGAGGCCGGCCCCAGGGCACGCTGGGAGTTGTAGGCTCCCCCTTCTGAGCTTGCCGGCTCCTGGCAGGCGGGGAGCGCACGCCGCGGCGGCCCCGGTCGCCGCTGAGGGCGACGCGGGGCTCGCTGGCGGAGACGCCCGGGCGCGGGGCCGCGCGGCCTCTCGCTCGGGAGGCCCCCGGGCGGACGCGCCTCTCCTTCGCCGGGCCTTCCCGCCAGCCTTCCACGCGCCCTTCCGTGGGTCGGGTGCGACGGGCCGGGGAGAGGGCGAGCCGGGCGGCCACGCAGCTGCCGAGGAAGGGGCGGCACGGGCAGCTCCTCCGTCGCCCGGCAGCCGGAACAGTACGGTGCGGCGCTGCTCGGAATGCCGTGAAATCAAGGCCGCATTTAAAATTCAAAACGGCTGAACCCCGGGCTTTTTTTTGTCATGGATCGCACCGGAGCGGCGGTCCGGCCCCTTTTTTGACGGATTTTCCCGAGCGATTTGTGAATCGCCCTGTTGGGCGTAGCAGGTCGGCGGCAGAAATCGTTAAAATAGTGCCTGCGGGCGATGGTGAGGGCGCCGCTCGGCTTGGGATCGGTCGTGTGGCCGCGCGCTGAGTGCTTCCCGCCGGCGGCGACCATTGTGTAAAAGTGTGACCCCAAGACCTGAGTTCCGGCACCTCTTGGTTTTTTTTACAAAAAAGCACTGGCTTTTTGTAAATAGATTAATTTTTACACAGTAGAAATTAATCTATATACAAGAAAGCACAGAGGCACCTGCTGTAGGGCGGCAAAGGAAAAGGCGCACAGCTGCAGAGATCTGTGGGTGCGGGAGCCCACTGAATGGTGGGGAGGCAGAGCCAGCGGCCGCCGTGGTGTGGAGAACGGGCGCGCACGGTGGGATGCCAGAAGAGGTGCCAGGCCTGGAAGAGGCGGCTGCCGAGCGACCTCCACCCGTGCAGAGGAACCGCGTGGGATCCCGGCGAGGAAACCTGCCTCCAGCCAGAACAGGAACGCTCCTCTCCGCCTTTGCCCAGGCAGCTTGGCTCCCCCAAGTTGAACCATGTCAAAGCGGCTGTGAGTCACAGGAGATGCTGAGGAAGGAGGAAGCGCGGGGCGAAGGCGGAAGCCGCTCCGAGGCGGCCATTCCCCTTTGGATCTGAGGAAGCCAGATCTGGCTGTTCTGTGTGTCCAGGACTTTCCACCTCGAGTCTGCACTACCAGGTGGCAGCCCTGCTCCCCTGGGGAGCGGCCAGTCAACCACAGTCGTGCAAGGACAGAGAAATAGAGATTCACAGGGCGTGCATGCAAGAATTCGGCCGTGCATGGTACTTATGCTATTTCGGGTTATATTACCCTAAAGGTCATTTCATGGGAATGGATGCTGCTGCCGCCAGCCGTCCAGGAAGTGCCCAGCCCCTTGCAGGGGCTGGAAGGTGCTGTGCGTGAAGCACCCAGCCGGCAGGCTGGATGAGTGCCTGAGGAAAGCAGCTCCCTGCCCTCGCACAGCGCCTCGCCTCGAAGGAGTCACGAGGCCCACAGGTGTGTCTGCCGCTTCCCGGGGAGTAACCCTGGCGCTCTTGGCTCAGTCTTGCCCCACGCAGTTGCAGAATCGGAAGACAGGCGAGGCCTCTGGTGGGGCGCCCAGCACCCAGCGGTCGCAGGTGCAAGCCGAGACCTCTGCTGCCCGAAGAGAACGAAACGGATGCGCCGTAGAACCAGGCTGGCCCGACACCGGCAAAGCCGGCAAGGCAACAGGCGAAGGCAACGACTCCCCCGTGAAGCAGAATGGCGAGCATGGTGGGCCAGGAGGACCCGCCCCGTCATCCAGCGCGTTGCGCCGTGCCCAAGCGTGCCTGCGGGGCTCCCCTCGCCACCGCCCCCCAGGGCCTGCCCAGCGCAGCCAGGGCGAGATTGCAGGGGCTGCCGTGCAGGGGCCCCACGCGTGGGGGTGCCACAGCTGGGGAAGCCTTTCCATGGGGAACGAGGCTCAGGGCCCAGGGAGGCTGCCGGCCGCAGCCGCTTCCCGCTCTGGGGCCGAGGCAGAGGAGGGGGCTGCGTGCGGGAGGCCGGCCAGCAGGGGTGGAGGCGGCCCCGGGCGGGCGCTCCCTGTGCCCACCCCTCCGACGGGGCGCCTGTCCAGGCACGATGGGGAGGGGGGCCCTACAAGCAACTGGCGCACCTGCTGGGGGAACATGCCCGGCCGGCCTCCCCTGCACTGCCCAAGGGCGAGCAGGAGCGAAGAGCACGGCAGAGAACGAGGCACGCAGGTGGCCCCCTTGCGCAGCATCCTCCGGGCAGCGCAGCCGCCCCACCCCAAAAAGGCACCACACGGGGCGGCTTATTAAAATAGTCTACATGCTTTATTGGCTTGAAAACCCTTTTACGAATCGGCTGTTCAACAAGTACCAAGACACGCCTGGCAGCGACGGACCATACCCCCACCACACGCCCACGGCGGAGGGAAGCCCCGGCACCCCCGCGGCAGCAACGCCCGCCCCTACCCAGTGCCACGCCGGGCGGGCGGGCCCCAAGACGTGGCCGGGGCCACGGCCCACTGGCCTGAGGCGCCCGCCCCCGCCTGCCCCTTCTCGGGCCATCTCCACGCCGGGCAGCGGCCTCCCCCTCTATCCCGCCTCGCCTCGCCCCCAGCCTGCTCGCTCCTGCCAGCCAGGCACCCCGCAGAAGAGCCCCTCCCCGTGAACCCGGGGCAGTGTCCCAGCACGGCCCTCTCCGCAGCCCCTTCTCCCCAGCAGGCTCCCCCAGGGTGGGGCCCGGAGCCTCCCCGACTGCCACCTGCCGTGCGTGGCGCCCCCGGCCAGGCCCCGGGCTGAAGCAGTGCGAGGCGAAGAGGCAGGGCGACCCCCGGGCGGTCCCCACGTGGCCCACCATCGCCGGGAGTGGAGGGGAGGGGAGGCGCGGCGGCGGCCTCCGTGCCGAGCGAGGCCCGTGCAGGCGGAAAGGGCAGCCAGCCGAAGCCATGCGCAGCGGAAGCGGGGGCTCTGCGGCCGAGCGCGGGGGGGGGGCGGGCCGGGCCGCCCCGGAATAAATAGCTGCGTGGCTCCGTGCGCCGCAAGGGCCCCGGGGGGCGTGCTCCCCTGCCCCGCCCCGGGCTGGGGGCTTGTCCCAGTGTGCGCTCCCCCCGGCGCTACTTCTTGGGCTTCTTGAAGATCTTCAGGGGGAACTTCTTGCGGCCCGGCCCGGGGTCGCCCTCCTCGCCCGTGGAGCCGCTGTCGTCCTCGGCGGCCGCGCTCTTCTTGGGGGCCAGGTGCGGGATGCGGCTGCCGCCCTTGGTGCCGTTGGCGGCGCGCCCCTCGGCCGTGGGGGAGGGCGTGTCGGGCTCGGTGGAGCTGGGGCTGTGCGAGCGCGAGGAGTTGGCGGGGCCGGGCCGGGCCCCCGCGGCGCCGAGCTCGCCCAGGCTGGCCGCCTTCTCCAGGCCGGCCGCCTTCTCCAGGCCGTGGTTCAGCAGCAGGGCCTTCTTCCTCGGCCGCGGGCTCTCGGCCACGGGTGGCTCCACGGGCCACGCACCCCCGCCGCCGGGGGCCTCCTCCGCGGGCCGGCCGTGCAGCGCCGGCCGAGGGGGAGGCAGCTTGGGAGCCGGGCGCTGGCCGTCGCTCGCGGGCGGGATGGACGAGTCCGAGTCGGAGCGGGACAGGTCTCTGGCGGTGGCAGAGAGAGGGGAGAGCATGGTCAGCCGGGGGCGCGCAGGAGCCCGTCCATCCGTCCGTCCGTCCGTCGCAGGCCGGCCAGGGAAGCCAGACTAGCGGGGGCACGACGAGCGGCTCGCCCCCGGCTCACTCCCCCTTCCGTGCGAGAACGTTCCGGTCGAGGTCGGGAGGGCAGCCCCCCGCCCCGGGGGGCCCAGGCCTCACGCTGCAGCCCCAGCCACCTGCAGGGCCCCCTTGGCCATTTGGCCGGACGCCCTCCCATGACCCCCCGGCCTTTGGCTCCATGGGGCGGACGCCCAAAAGCAAGCGCCTGCTCCGAATGGCTTCGGAGGCGGCGGGCGCAGCTCCCGCCTGGCCACTCGAGTGCCCCCGGGGGCCCCGAGCTGCCCCCCCCTCGCATGCACAGGAGGCGTGGCAAGAGGCGCTTATGCACCTCGTCGGCGACGGCCCCCAGGACCTCCCGCCCCACGCGCAGCTGGGGCTCCGAGCGCTGCCTGCAGGGGCTCCCTGCTCCGTACAGCCAGGCCTCCCGCAGCATGCATGGCGCTCCCGTGGAGCACAGGGAGCGAGTTCTGCACCCGACCAAGTTCATTAGGGGCACACCACGGCACGCCACACCACACCACACCACGCCACGCCACACCACACGTCCTGCGTGGAGAACATGCGGCCGAAATCACACGCCCAGCCCAGCAGAGCAGCTGCACGGCCGCGCAGCGGGGGGCCGCCTGGGGGTCGTTAGTCTGTTAGCTCCCCCAGCGCTGGCCGGCTCCCCAGCGGGGCCCGGCCCCGGCCCCGGCCCCAAGCGCAGGCCCCTCCCGCAATCGCGAGGGGGGCCGGGGGGCTGCGGGAAGCCACAGGCAGGCACGCGACCAGCGGCACGCCAGGCCGATGCAGGCGGCACGAACCCAAAGCTCTCGGCGCGCCCCCGCGTCCCCGAGGTGACGTCGGGAGGGGGCAGGTTGGGCAGGGCGTCCATCTGGAGGATGTACGAGGAGGTGGTGTGGTGGTAGAGGATCGGGAGCGCGTGGCAGGCGGGCGCGGAGGGGCCCGCGTGGCTGGAGGCGCCCGGCGCCGGCAGAGAGGTGGTGGCCGGGTGGCTGTCGGTGCTGAAGGACTGGCTGCCAGTGAGGCTGGGCATCCGGCGGAGGGCGACCCGGCCGGGCAGGTAGTGGACCAGCGCCCCCGCCTCGCCCTGGCCCTGCCCGGGGGCCGCGTGGCTCTCTACCAACCTCTGCGATCCCAAGGAGTGCTGCGGGTCCACCAGGCGCTGGCGAAGGCTGCTCGGCAGGGTGGGCGCTGCACGGAGAGAGCAGAGCGGGGCGCCGTCAGCGGGGCCTGCGTGTGCCCCCGGAGAAGCTCCGCGGCCCCGCAAGCAGCCTTCTCCCAGGCCCCGCTCCCGGGGCCCTCTCGGCTCCCCCGCCCCTTGTTCCTCTGCCTGGCTGAGCAGCGGGGCTTTGTATCCCAGTCCCGGGGGGTGCTGGGGGGGAGGCCCCTCCCCGCCCTGGAGCCCAGTGGGCTCTTCTGGGGCAGGCCTGCAGCCAAGCTTCCCCACAGGCGGCCAGCCCCGGGCGGCCTCATCTCCGCCACGCAGGGGCGCAGAGCGGGCCACGCGTGGGGAGGGCCTCGCCGGGACGGGGAGGGCCAGGAACCGGTCGCGACGTGTGCCGGGGCCCCCGCAAGCCCGCAGGCAGGCAGGGCACCCCGAGGAGCCCCTCGGGCTCGCAGCCTGGTGGCTGTTCCTAAGAGCGAGTCAGGCGGGCGGGCAGTTAGGGCAGGCGAGGGCGGGCTGGTGGGGCCCTCCCCGTGCAGCCCCCCTCCTGCCGCTTTCCTCCCAGGGCTGTGGGGCCTGCCTCGTTCCCCGAGGAGGGCGCTGCGTCTGGGGGGGGGGGGGGGGGCTGCGAAGGGAAGACGACCCAGAAGGCAGGCAGGCAGCCACCCTGCTGCTCCCCCGTGGCGCCTGCACCCCGCACCGGCTGTCCACCCTGCCTCCTCGCGGGACAGAGGCGCCCCAGCCCGTGCAAGAGCCAGAGGCTGGGCACTGTGGCCCCATGTGCCACGGCTGCTGCGAGGACACCCTGTGGGCCGGGGCTCCCCTGCCTTCCCAGCCTCTCGGGGGGGCCGGCTCAGTCCCTCACTTCATCGTTCGTCCCACCCTCTCCCTTGCCGCCGGAACGATGGGGCCAGGCGCAGGGGGGCCCCCCTTTTTCCCCCCCCCCCCCCCCGGACGCAGGGCTGCCGGGCACACAGCAGCCGGAGGCGGCCCCCTTGTGCCCCGCGTGCAAAAGGCGAAGTGCGAGTGCAGGCAGGCGGAGAGAAGCCGAGCGCGCAGGCCCCTTGACGGGCCAGGCCGGGGGGGCGCCGGGGGGGGGGGGAGGGGGCCCGGGGGGCCTTGCGTGGGCCGGGGGGGGTGCCCCGCCTCCGGGACAGCCCCCGGCCAGCCTGGCCCCCCCCCCCCCGCTCGCACAGGCCTCCCCACGCCCCGCGGCCCCACCTTGCCCCGGTCCTCCGCGCTTGCAGACCCTGGATCGGGAGGGCCCGCGTGCCCTCGCGCAGCCCCCCACCCCCCGCCACAGGCCCGCCGGGGGGTGCTCGGGAGGCATGGGAGCAGCAGGGGGAGGTGGCGGCAGCGCGGTGAGGATTAGTGCCTGGTGCGGCGAGGCTGCGGGGCAACGGGGCGCCTGGCTCCTCCGCCCGCTGTGGGTTTAGTACAGCAGGAGAGAGAAGCCAAGAGCGCAATCCTCAAACCGGGGAACTTCCAGGACCGATCCTCCGAGCAGAAAGGCGGGCGGTCGCTGAGCCTGCGCCCCAAGAGCAAGGCAGCGTCTGGCAGGAGCCGATCGGGAGGAGGTCGGGGGAGAGAGAGAGGCGTCACTGGCAGGGGACCCCCACCTCGCGCCGGCACTCCTGGGGGAGGCAGCACCCCCGACACCGCCTGTCCCCCACCCCCGCCCCCACAGGTGGCTCCTAACCGGCCTGCGCCGGAGTGACGCTGGCCCCACACCATTCCTCCGCCTCCGCAGGAGCGCGCCGGGGCCCCCTGGCCTCCCGGGGCTCCCCCCCGTCACATGTCCCTGCAGGCGAAGCGCCTCCCTGCCGCTCCCCAGAGCACCCCGGGCCGGCAAATGCTCAGGGGTCCCTTGCTGCAGGAGCGCGCCACCTGGGCCGCGGGCCCGGTCTCACGGAGTGGGCCAGCACGCGGCTGCTCGGGCCGGGAAGCAGCTCTGCGGGGAGGGATTGGCCCCCGTGGCCTGGGGCTGCCCGCCCCCCCGCCATGCCCAAGAGCCCCTGCGGCTCCCCCGGCACGCCGGGCCCCAGGCCTGCTCCCGGCAGGCACCCCGGATGCCCCCGCCCGCTGGGCCCAGGGGACCTACACTGCATGGAGAGCGGGGAGACAAGCTCCTCGTCCAGGTCGTCCACGTCGTCGGTCAGGATGAAGTGGGGGCCGCCGGACCGCGCGGGGGCCCCGACCCAGGTAGGGTCGATGTTGAGGGCGGCCACCAGCGTGTGGATGCCGGGGTTGCTGACGATGTGGAAGCCGCACAGCGCCTCGATCTGCTGCCACCGGTGGAGCCGCTCGCGCAGGGCCGCCGTCACCTCGCTCAGCGCTTGCCTGCGGGGGGAGGCGCCGCGGGGGTCGGGGGGCTGTGGGCCAGCGAGGGGTCGTGGGGCGGGGTGGGGCAGAGTCCTCCCTCCCCAAGAGCCCCCTCCCCTGGAGCAGGGGGCAAGCGTGCCGGCTGGCGCAGCGGCCCACATCCTGCACCCCAGGGCCTCATCTTCCGCCGCGCCCCTCTGCCACCCCAGACCCCAGACCCGGGAAGGGGCCCCACCTGCAAGCCGAGCGGAGGCGGAAGCCGCCCTGCCTCCCCCCCGCAGCACCGTGAGGATGCTCAGCTCCCCCACTGCACCGGGGCTGTCCTGCAGAAGCCCCCGGATCGTGGCTCAGCGGGGCCTGCCGCACAGCGGCCTCCACAGCGCCCCCCACGCCGTCTCCTCACGGCCGGGCTGCCCTCGAACGGGGACAGGAGAGAGCGCCCGCCCCCCCCCAAGGAGGCCGGCGCTTGGGAGCCACCCCCCACTGCCCCGGGCCCACCCCACGTCACACAGCTCCTGCTCCGGCCGCCTTCGGAGCCCACCTGCTGGAGGGGGAATGGATGTGAGCAGAAGCGACTGGGGCCGGGACGTGGGGCTGGGGGGGGACGGACGTGGGGCCGGGGCGGGTGGCGCTGCAGAGAACGGCCGCCCGGGGGCACTCACTTGGCCGTGAGGATCTTGTGGTCCACGTCGTCCAGGGATGAGCTGTGGGCCACGTGGAACGTCCCGAAGAGCGTGCTGCGCTTCTTCTTGATCTTCTCCGCCTGGACGGGGGCGAGGGCGAGGGGTTGCGCGAGGCCTCGGAGGAGCTGCTCCTCACACCCCGGGCTGGGCCTGGAGACCCTGCTCAGCCGCTGCCTGGGGGGCGCCCCCTGTCCCCAGCTCCACTGAACCGCACACAGGGCTTGCCGGGCTGAGCCTTGGGGCAGCGAGGAAGCCTGGCCCCCACGCCACCCAGGGCCCCCGGTGGCTGGATCCCCCCCCGCCCTGCCGTCGGCCCTTCCATCTCTATCCAGGCCCCCTCGCACGGAGGGAGGGGGCCCACCGCAGCCAGAGGCGCCTCCCGGCTGGCCCCATCCGCCCCCACTCGGCACTCCGGCTCGGCTCGTCCCGGGCGCAGGCGTCCTCGCTCCCGCCGGAGGCCAGCAGCAGAGCGCCCCGGGCGGGCCCCCGCGGGGGGGAGGCAGGCGCCCCCGGCACTCACCCCCTCCTTGGCCAGCAGCAGCTGCCGCTCGGCGTTCTGCTTCTTGACGTTGTAGTACCGCACCTCCACCTCGTGCGTCAGCTGCAGCCACTTCTGCAGGGCCTCCGGGGCCGCCCAGCCGCTGTGCGACTCCAGCTCCTGCTCGGCGTTGCGCAGCGCCACGCGCACCTGCGGGGGCAGGGCAGGCTGGGCGGGCGGGCCGGGGCGCCAGGCCGTGCCCGGGCCCCGTGGGGGCCCCGCCCCCCCCCCGCCGGGCTGCCCGGCCGCCGGCCGCACCTGCTCCAGCTCCTGCTCGGCGTACTTCTGCCGGCTGAGCTCGTTCTCGGTGCCCTCGCGCAGCTCGCGCAGCCGGTGCGCCTCCTGCTTGGCGATGCTGATCTCGTCCTGCAGCCGCTTCTCCAGGGAGACCTTCTCCACCTCCACCGTGCGGTGCTCCTCCTGGGCCTTCTGCAGCCTGGACGGGACGGGACGGGGGGCACCGCGGGGAGGGGGAGGGGGGAGGAGAGCACGTGCCAGGAGCTGCGCCAGGCATGCAGAGCGTCTGGGGCGAAGAGAGGCAGGGCGGGGGGCCCAGGCGGGGACTCCCCCCCATGCTGCAGCTCTGCTCGTCCCACTGAAAGCTCTGTGGATCCGGAAAGCCACCGACCCGCCCTCCAGGGCGGCCACTGCCACCGCCCACGCGGCTCTGGCCACGCTGGACCCCCTCCACACGGCCACCAGCCCGGAGGGCTGCCCCTGCCCGCCGGAGACCAAGGCGGACGGGCTGGTCTGAGGGTCCCTCGCTGGGCTGCCCTGCCGGGCGTGAAGGGCGCTCTGGCCAGGGCCGACTGCTCGGCCACCACTCCGGGGGCCCGGGAAGGGGGCTGGCCAGGACAGGGTAGGGCAGCGGGATGGCCGGCGCCTTGCCAGGGAGGGCCGTCAGAGGCCGTTTCCCCTGCCTCCGAACCACGGGCTGCGGGAATTCACGGAGCTCACTGGGTGCCCAGAGCAGGTCCCGCCGGCCCCTCCACGGGGAGGCGAGGGGACAGAGGCAGCCGGCACGGGGAGCCTGGTCACGGCCAGGCCCCATCCTGCGCTGCCGTGGTCAAGGGCCGGCCCCCACCCCGCAGCGGGGAGCCCGGCGCGAGCGGGGGAAACGGCCTCTGGCCCCCGGCCGGGCGCTCACCGCTCCTGGAGATCGTGCAGACTCTGCTCGGCGCGGTGCAGCCCCTCCAGGTCCTTCATCATCTTGCGCAGGTGCTCCTTGGAGTAGCGGTTCTGGATGTAGGCGAACCAGCAGCCGCCCACCCCGATGACGATGGAGACCACCAGCATGAAGTCCTTCAGGTGGCTGTGGCGCGTCACTGCGGGAGCGAGAGCCGGGCAGCGGCGCCGTCAGAGCAGGCGGCCCCCGGCCCGTGCCCCCCGCCCCGCCTCACCCCACACGCTGGCTCCAGCCGGGAAGCTCGGTGGCTGGCAGCGGCGGCGGCACTCCCGGGAAGCCTCTGGACGCAGGCAGGCAGGCAGCCCGCGAGGCCGGGCAGGACCCGGCAGGCGGAGGAGCCTCGCCGGCACAGGGCGACGGGGCAGGAGCCGCCGCGCTCCCGGGGTGAGCCGAGGCGAGGCAGGAGTGCCGCATGCCTGGACCACGGGGCCCGGACGCGGGGCCAGCGTCACCGCAACGCTCGGCTTTGTCTGGACTCCGGCCCACAAACATCACCCCCGGGATGACGTGGGATGCGCACGCACCTTTGCGCTCCGGCCCCACAAACAACCTCGAGCATGATTCCCCGGCTTCAAAGCAGCAGGCGTCTTTCCCGAGGCCCCCTCCACCCGCCTTTCTCTGTTCCCCTAAGCACACGCCGGTACCGAGCGGAGCAGCTGCTCTCGGCACGTGATCCAGGGCACTCGGATCCAGACCGGGGGGGGGGGGATGGGGGCTCACAACGGGGCAGCTCCGATGCTGAGCTGAGGAAGCGGAGGCGCAACCCCGAGGGTCAGCCATGGGGGAGGGGGCTAGGAGCAGGGGCGCCCCTCAGGGATGGACCCACGGCGCAGCATCAGCGGGGGGGCTGCCCAGTGGGAGGGCTGGCAGGCAGGGAGGCGGCGCATTCCTCCCCAAAGCCCCCCCAAAGGACGGGGCCCAAACAAAGGGGAGTTCCGAGAAGTGACCGCTGGGCTGAGTACTGATCCCCCCGCAGCAATGCCCCAACACGCAGCGCCCCTCGCAGACCCCTCCTTCAGCCCCACGCATGCTCTGCCGGCTCCAGCACCCCCCACCCCACACGGCACCCCACGCAAGACCCCGGGCTGCCTCCCTGCCTCTCAGGCGAAGGAAGCCGAGCATCTGGAGGGCTCTTGGCCATGCTGATGCAGAAGGCGCACTCCTGTGAGGCATCGCACATCGCGCGTGGGAGGCAGAGATGGCAGGCCGCCGTGAGGCGAGTCCCGGGCTTCTGTCCCCAGGCAAGCACGGGGCAGATCGCCGTCCCTGTGACTCCCACAGGCGAGCCGCCCCCCCCACTCCCCCGTGGCTGAACGCCCCCCCTTTGCACGGCTGAGGAGCGCACGCAGGCCTGGCGTGGCCGCCCGCTCGCCGCACGGTGACAGCCGGGGCCTGGCCGTGCCGTGCCACGACCGAGGGCGGGCGGGCAGCGAGGGAAGGAGGCCCACGGCCCAAGCCGGCCAGCAGGCATGGTTCTGACGGGGGCACGCCTGCGCAGCAGTTCGGCCGGCTGCGGGGGACCAGGGGATCGCTCGCCTCAAGGGGCTCAGGGCCTCGCAGACACGCGCAGAGGACCCAAGCCTGGCCCGGCAGCTCGATCGGTCGGGGGAGCCTGAAGGGAGACGCTGCTCCGGGGCCAGCGTGGCGGAGGTTGGTTGGTTGGTTCCAGACCAACACGCGGCGCCTTCCAGCAAGCCCAGGCTGAGCTTCCCCGCAGGAGCCATGGAATCCCAGGAGAGCAGGGCTGGAAGGGGCCGAGGGGGCCAGCCGGTCCCCCCCCCCCGCTGTTGCCGGACACCAGCTCATGCCACCTCGCTCACACGACTCCCCATCAGTCGAACTAACTCTGTTCAGCAGTTCCAACTACTTGGACTCGTAGAACAGCAGAGCTGGAAGGAACCATGAGGGCCGCTGGTCCCACCTGCTGCCGTTGCAGGACCCCTGTTCACACCACCCCGCTCACGGACGCTGGTTCAAGCTGCACCGATGAACTACTGAAGCGAAGCACCAAGAGAGGCAGTTCAAGCAGCAAAAGTAACTCCTTCCTTCCATTTCGTTCAGCGTGTTCGTATGCATTGGCAAGCCGCTCCAAGATTTGTTTCCGAGGGAAAGGGGCAGAGGTGCTGGAAGATCCTTGTCGGGAAGCACCCCAAGCGCTCCCCGGAATGCTGCCCTTCTCCATTCCACCCACTGCTCCTCTTCCTGCGCCTCTCCGTCACCTCCGTCCGCAGACCTTGCCTCTCTGCTCCCCCACATCCTCTGCCCCCGTTTTGGATGTGGTTCCATAGTCTCCATCGGGAGTCAACTTTCATCTCTCCTCCCTTCCCAAAATCAACGTGGGTTTTGCCTACCAGAAAAGCCCCTGCACCTATCCTCCTGCAATCCGGAACTCTCCGTGTACGAAACCCCCGACACCCATCTGCCTGGTATTTGTCCAAAGTTATCCGCACAGGCAGGGCCACTCTGCTGGCCAGCGCCACCCGATCCTGCTGCCAAAAGACGAGGAGGTTCTCCCAGGACTAAGGCTCCTGCCAGAAAGAAATCTGGCAGGCTGCGTTCCTTCAGAAGGCTCGACAGGGAGAGCCCTTCACGGACTCTGCATGGGACTGACCGAGGCACACGATGCCTCTGAATCCTGCTTTAGACTGGAACCAAGATCAGATCAGGCACCCCCCGAAGTGGCGGAGCTTCTCGAGTGCTGAACCGAACGGCTTGCTGCGTCTGGCACTTGGCACACGCCCTGGACAATCTCAACACAAATGCTTAAACCGTCACCACTAAGGGCCTCACCCTTCAAGGAAGCCCAAATACGTGCCTCAAATAAAAACGGAGAGAGACAAGGACGAGCAAAGTGGATGTGCCTGCGCTCACCAGCAGAGGGTGCGGACGCCCCTTCCCTTCCTCCAGCTGACGGCCCGCAGCCGGAGCCGTCCCGTTCCTCAGGGGGCCGGCTGCCCCGGAATACCCCTGCCTGCCCACCTGCCTCCCCAGTCGCAGCACCAGGGACACGACAGCCTGCCTTGACCCTGCTGGGGGAGGACTTTCCGCACTCGGGGACGGCGGGACGGCTCCTGTTCTCGTGGCCTCTTTGCCCAGCTCCCGTGCCCATTCCGGAGGCTCCCCTTTGCTAATGCTCCCTCTGCCAGAGCGTCCCTGTGGGCCCGGCACTGTGTCTGCCACTTGGGGGGTGTGGATCAGCGTCGCAAACGTGATGGGAAATAAATGCTTCGCAACAGCAGCAAGAAGCAAGACGGTGGGGAATGCTGAATCACCCCCGTTTTTCATTTGAAGCGATCTGAACGCCAAATGGAAAAATGTTACCGAGACTTAACTGACCTACGGAATTCCTGCTGGAGGAAGATGCCAAGTATCTCAGCCTGGGAACCATTTTGGCCGCCCCACTGAACATGCTTCCAACAGCTTAATTCTGCGAAGGGGACCGGTTCGGGCAGTTCCAATTCTTTCTGCCAAATGCAATCGGATTACTTTTTGGGAAACGGCCATTGAACAACTTTCAAAGTAATCCGTGGCCATCAGAATGCTGCACGATGGACTTTCTAGTGCTGTGGAAACAATCTCAGGCCCTGAGCTCCCTCAGGTGGCCTACGATTTTGACAGGAAAAGCAAAATAGCACAAAAAACGGGGGGGGGGGGGAGACTGAGACCACCCTCCCCCATCAACAATCAAGTCCACGGGGCAGAAATGCGTCCTCAGCTGCCCAGGGCCATCCCTGCATGGCCGGTGACTGCCGTGCACCGGCTGCCCCGGTGAGGGAAGTGGTGCCCATCGCAAGGAGCAGGGGCAGCTGAGCGAGGGGGCCTGGAGCTCCTGGGAGGCGTGACGGAGCCAGCTGCCGTGGGCGCTGGGGCAGGACTCCCCCCCACCAGCAACTCTCAAACACCAAGCACTGATAGAAAGGCTAATTTCAAATTGCTGTGCAACCAGCCAAAGCGCCGAGAATTTCTGGGCTGGAACGCGTGCCCAGATGGCACAGGGGAGTCCCAGCCCAGAGTGTCCCAGAAACCCAATTCCGTTGCATTAGCGTGAGACTGGAACTAGCACTGTCCGTTTTGTCTACTTGTGAAACTTCTTAAAGAAGCAAGCAACGGCCTTGGAACTCCACCGTGGCACCGATGCGCTCCTCAAGCCCTTAATTAGCTTTCACTAATTAAGCAGCAGCATTGCCTGCATTTCTGGCCGGTCACAAGTAACAGGGTCCCGAGCTGCAGAGCCATCGCTGGGTGGGCACGGACGGCTCGGCCTGCTGGGTGGGACAAGTGCCAGATGATGGCGATGATCGAGGCGCCGATGCCAGCGCCCCCTCGGGCAGAAAAGACCTGACCCGGCGGAAGGAGTGGCCCTCCAGGGCCAGGGACGGGAACTCGTCCAGCCCACAGGCGGTCAGCAGGGCCGAAGGCAAGAACGGCGAGCAAAACGGAAAGCGTGACCAGCCCCCGTGGCTTCTGGCCCTGTGGCCAGCCACTAAGCTGCAGGAGAGGCGCGTCGGCGGACTGGCCAGGCCAGAAGTCCCTGCCCCGAGAGCCAGCTCCCCCGGGCTGGGCACGGGACCAGCCTGAGTGCGGGGGGCAGGTGGTGCCGGCGACTTCCAGCGTCGCCCCAAAGGCTCCTCTGGCAGGGGAGAGGGCCCCGCTCCAGCGCCGGGGAGCCCCTCTCTTCCTTGGCCCCGGGAGAGCCACCGCCTCGTTCTATGTAGGGCACGCTTGTTTGTTTAACCGCCCCCTTCCGATTCCGCCACTTAATCCTTCCTCTCCCTGGAGCCTTTTCAAATGCTTTTTGTTACCCTCTTGCCAAGTAAGTAGTTTTCCACCGGCTCGGCGTCACCAGGCAGCAGCCGCAACGCCGCCCCCCACCGCTCAGGGCTGCCTGGCCGGGACCTGGCACACCAGCAGGACAGAGGGGCCTGGCCGGCCGGCTTCTGCAAGCCCTTCCCTGCGACAGGTCTTCTGCTCGCTGCCTCCCCCTGCGCCGTTGCGGGGATCCCACAAGAGGAGCCGAGGCCGCAGGAGGCTCACCGAGGACTGCCCGGGAGCGGCCCCACAGACGCTCCAGCACAGCACCTGCAGCGAAACGCCGAACCTGCCCGGCACGAGCCTCGCACGGGGGGCCGGGGCCGGGCA